AAAGTGCATTTGTATTCGTGCACCAATCCAGTTTGTTATTGAGGTGAACACCCAGGTATTTGTACTCCTCCACTATTTCAGTGTCCAAACCCTGGATGTTCACTGGTGTAATATGGGGTGACTTCTTGCTGAAGTCAATCACCAGCTCCGTCTTGCTGGCGTTGATGCGAAGATGCTTCTGTTCACACCAGCTGACAAAATCATTGATGCCCCCCCCCTTATTCCAGTTCGTTTCCCTCCGACCCCCGGCACCATGATGGTGGTGTCATCTGAGAACTTGGCAAATGTCCGTGTTATACCTGAAGAAGAGGAAAGACAGCTGTCCCGAGCATTTAAGAATCATGAAAAATCTGTGGTTATCAGCTGCATTTATCTGATATTAAAACATTCACAAAAATGCAATTTCATGCATTTTATTTTTCAATTTTTCATTATATTTTTCTGTTTATGTTGTATAGGCTATATACAGGGTTCCTTAATTTTTTCTATTATTATTTTAATAAAATGCAACTCTGGAACTGCCGAATGTTTTCTGACTTATACACCATTTCTTTTTACTGTATACTATCAGTATGTTAAGACCAAGATACTTGATAGGACTCTATAAAGGTTGCAGACTTTACTTCAGAATATATGCAAACTCAAAGTGTCACCTAAAGAAAATCAAGAGTATTTCAAATATCTACAACTTCCTTCAAAAAACTGACAGAGATTTACACTTAAAATGTTTGAAGCTGAAGCTCCGGCATATGTGTCAAAAAAAAAATCAACACTCTGCTTCAGAAACACCGACGCTTGGTTCGGCTGAACAACGTCACGTGATCAATGACTTCCGAAGCTTCGTTCGGCACGTCACTGATTCTGTACCTGGTTCAATGGTTTAAAAGAAACGGAGTCATTGGCGAGGTTTATGCTGTGTTCTGGTGGTGATTTTGTGCGAGTGGTGGTGAACCAGTGTGCGACATAATTAGAGACACGGAGCCAAGAAGAGGTGACGCCCTATTCCTACGTAAACGGCTACCAAACAGCCATCATAATTCGCCATACAATGAACAGGACAAATAAAGAATTGACAATGACTAATTAATATTGTGCTGAACACACGCTCTTTTCTGGAATATTCTCACTTATTTATAACCACCCCTGTTAATCCTTGATATATATAATTAAGTGATCTGTATATATTAGTGCTATTTCTTAAATGTGTAAAATCTGTAACATAAGGTATTGTTTGGAGTTTAGTCTGTTACTGTTACTATTTTTACCATTTCTTCTTGGAGCAACTGTAATCCACATTATTTCCTTAAGGATTAATAACGTATTCTGATTCTGATTGTTTCAGGATGACCTGATCCAACGACACATCTGCTTACCTGAATCTTTTGCTCGTTTCTCCTCCTCTTCTTTTCTCTTTTTTCTAAACTGAGCACCTGATGGCTTTGAACTTCTCTTGTTCACTCCAGTATGAACACCCTCCATCCCCCAACCCGAGGATCACCACAACATAACCTAACAGACCTACACCTTAGTTCACAGATTTGCTTTGTCTAGGGTTTATTTCTGGGATTTCGTACAATCCAGGGTTCAAATCATGAATCCATAATGGACTTGGATTTACATCATTATGAATGAAATGTGCTCTATTTGGAAGCAGCCGGCCCCCCTCCCCTTTCGACGGGTTGTGTGTGAGACTTTAAATCATCAAACTGTAAATTATAAATTTTAAATTGTTATTGATCCCTTTA